ACTTCCTTAATGAAATCCACTATATCTATATATATGCTCCGGATACAAAGGAAACTTGCTAGTTGAGAGGTTGAGTTAAATTATAAAGAGAGGAATTTTATCACGTATTTTATACTTGTTTATTTCACATATTTACTCTGTTTCATGTTTATTCCTCCTTTATTGTATCCGATATTGTTGGACCACTAGTAAGTTTCGGAGTCGACCTCTCGTCACTATTTCTTCGAGGTTAGACGAGATACTTACTGGGTACACGTTGTTTTTACTCATACTACAATTGCTGTGCATTTTTGTTGCACATGCACATGTATGACTAGTGGCCTAGTCAGGCGCAACGGCATGTTCGATACAGAGACTTAGGTGAGTTGCACTTCTCAAGACGCCCCGCAGCCGGCAGAGTCTCCTTCAGAGTACTGTATTGTATTTTCCTTTTGTCAACTTGTATTCCGGACAGTTATTGTATTACATCTTGTTTTTCCTAGAAATTGCTCATGCACTTGTGACACCGGGTATGGGGTAATTATTGGATTATTCAGCAGCTAAATTTTGTAAAGACACTGTTATTTATTCAGTGAAATTTATTATTTATTGTTTAAATGTTTAAAGGAGATGATTTCAAAAATATTAAAACGAGAAATTACTAGTTATTTGGTGTTGGCTTGCCTGACAGTTGTGTCCGGCGCCATCACAACCCTTAATGGATTTTGGGTCGTGACAATAACAATATGATCTTTTAAAATTTTATAATTAGCGCGTACCAAGAGACTAGTTCAGTATAAAAGCCAAGTATTTTCGGAACCGATTTTATGTTATGTTATAATATATGTCCTTTATAACAGCAACTCGCTATAGCAACCAAAAAATTTCGGAACAAACGAGATTGTTATAGAGAGATTTGACTTTAATAGAAAAGTAAGAGCAAAAGACTCCAGAAATATAGTACCAATGACCTAATAATCAAAAAATTAAATGTAAAAATAATATTAATAATTAATAACAAGGACAAGATACTACAAAAACCAGAGCTGAAAAATAGTGAAGAAAGAGTGATTGTTATAAATAGAATTTTATTTATGGTGAATGTATATATTTAGAGAGATTCTAGAGATTTTTACTTGGTGGCTAAGTCACTCTTTCCCTATAAATAGAGGGTTCTATTCCATTGTAATTCATCCCAAATCAATAAGAATTTTCTCCCTACTTTTCTCTGCAATATTCTTCTTCTTCTTTTATTGTTTATAACACGTTATCAGCACGAGACTCTAACGAATTGAGTAGAAGCTTTGGGATTGAGCATAATGATTGTCAATTATTCCATGAACTTCCTTCATGATTAAATTCTGGATTTAAGGCAAGTATCTTACTGTATTTTTTCTTTCACTATACTTTGATTTTAAATATTTGTCATCGATTTGACATGAGATTTTGTAAAGCACATATAGATGATTATGGTCCATTCATGATGTGAATGTGACAACATCTGATTTATGAATACATAATCATTCTTCAAAGAATATGAACGTGCTAGTGGTAGTGAATATACCGCACTCGCCTCTAAAAGGAGGTTTGAGATGATATAAGAAAATAATGTCATTATTGTGGCATGAATGGTCATTGGTCACGTACCTATTGTACGCCAAAATATTTTGGCATTGTGATTATTAAAAGACAGTGGTAATGCAAGAAACAGAACTTGCATATAATTTTGACCATAACCATAATGGTATGACTTTCTCCTTAAAAGAGATATTCACCATATGGGTGTTGATGAATATGTGGTACTACAAAACTAATTGAGAACTCTGCAAGAGCCAATTATACTATTTTGGAGAAACACAATTAATTACCAATAAGGTATTGTGTTGTAGTAAGTCTCAAAGAAACTTATTCAGTTTCCAAAGTATACACGAAAGCGGTTGATTAAATTGAGACTATAAATAAAGGAAAGATTTAATATCTTCTATTACTACAACTTATAGCGGGGTAATATGTATGTGAAAAGCTACCCACTTTATTCTCCAATTTGTACTACATAAACAAAAGAATACCACAATGAAGTGGATATGTATTGATATAAAAACCCATATCATAATAAACTTGGAGTTTATTGATAATTGCACACGTCATGGTGTAACCCTAAAGTTTATCAATGTTGATAATTTATCCAGTTGGCATAATTGGTTTAGCCATGTTAATTCAAGTATGATGTGCAAAAAAAATAAAAGAGAATTCACATGGGTAAATATTAAAGAACTAAAAAGTTCTTTACGAATTCTCTTACATTGCTTGTTCTCATTAATTAATAGACCAACTAAAAGTGGGAATGAATCCCATGAATGCTGGAAATATCAAAGGTGAATATGGGCCCATTCACCTGCCATGTATACCACATAAGATGCATCTATGAGATGGTTACATGTGCGATTATTAATAACCCGCAAGATGGTGTTTTGCGAGGTAACTTGCTCAATAATTTAATTTCGAGCATAATTTTCATATTTTCCATTCAAGACAGTTTATCTTGATAAGTTGGCTTACATCACAGTTGGTTTAGCAAAATGATTTATTGAGTGCCTCCACTTAATAGTTAACTATTGGTTATGAGAACAATGTTATATATATCAGTTTGATATACGTTATATACAAAAGTATATTATTTTTCTCCCCTCACAAGTGGTTCAGCGTCAGGAACCAAATAATTCCATCTTATTATTATTGATGTGTGGTGTATATTATGATTAACACCATAACGCACAAAGATGGGTTCTCAAAGTTGAGGAAACAAGTTAGTTTTTCTAACATGAGGGGGAGACATGATAAACAGTTGAGAAAAAGTTACGTGGAATGAATTATCATTTGTACATCTAGATCCTCGAATAAGATAATATGAACTTGAAGTTCATAAAAGGATAATTCATTTGCAATATATTGCAAAGCATGCCAGACGCATTTGCTGACCCAAAGAAAGTAACTATATTCTCATTGCAAATGCTCCTATTAAGTCCTAGAAGGACAAAGTCTATGGTACGCTTAAAGCATATAGACAAATCGGTTTCAAATAAACTTCTTGATAAAGAAGATGAGCAAATGATCAAAATGATCATAATAAAGAGGCAAGTGAACTAGAAGATCACATAACATAACACTTCATTAAATCTCTTGAGAGATTCAAGTACCTGAATATATGAATGAAGAGATCTCTATGTTATGTCTTTATGAAAAATAAGGAGGTTGGAACCGATATAAAATGTTTGTCGACGACATCTATAATAGCGCTAAATATATATGAGGATCTTAAGCCTGGAGAAACAATTTCGAATAGAATTGGTTTCATATGAAAGACATGTAGTTTTGAACATGTAGTTCAAACACTTGAAAGTATAAAGTCAATGGTATGTGCAATCAGTTTTCGATATCTTATATGTCTAGCATGACATGAAAACTTGATATGCATCTAAAGTCTACTATATGGCTTATATGACTTAACTTATGTGACAATCCATGAAGGATTTAAGTTGCTTGAAGCATATACAATTCTTGATCTTGAAGTACCACTTCTTCAGTGCAATTTGTGCACAAATGTATCTTGCTATAACTATATGCATGATAATATGATAGCGAGAGTTTCACCTCTATGTGAAGATATTGAACTAACGATTCCAACAAGATCATATGAAGACAATACATCTATTAGGGATGATGATTTCAAGGTGAAACAAATTCGTTCAAGTTAATATGGCTTATTTATTTATCAAATCTCTACCAAAGATCTTTTGAAGATGGTGCACAAGATTGCAATGCGAACACTCAAGGATGTGAATTGATGCTCTCATCAGGGGGAGTTAATGCGCGTTGCACTCTTTTTCCCTTACAAGGTTTTGTCCCACTGGGTTTTCCTTGCAAGGTTTTTAACGAGGCAACCAAAAGGCGTATTGTAGATATGTGTACTCTTTTTCCTTTTCTAGAATTTTTTTCCCATTGGGTTTTATTTTAGTTAAGGTTTTAACGAGGCACATTATCTGTTGAATAGACATTCAAGGGGGAGTGTTATAAATAGAATTTTATTTATGGTGAATGTCTATATTTAGAGAGATTCTAGGGATTTTTACTTGGTGGCTAAGTCACTCTTTCCCTATAAATAGAGGGTTCTATTCCATTGTAATTCATCCCAATATCAATAAAAATTCTCTCTCTCTACTTTTCTCTGCAATACTCTTGTTCTTCATTTATTGTTCTATAACAAATACCTAATTTTTGTATTATTTTAACATGGGAAAAGGATCAAATATACCCCTCTACTTTTAAATATTATTTATATTTGTCCTCCGTTATACTTTGGGAACAAAAATACCCCTGCCTTTACAATTGTTATCAAATATACCCTTATCTCTANTTAATTCATTATACAACTTTGAGGTTTATGTTTTGCGATTTAAAGTAAAATTTCAAAAAATATGATTTAATTAAGTTGTTTTAACAACTTGTTTGGATGTTGTTATGTATCGTTTCATAATATATCGTATTGTATTGTATTGTGCTGTATCGTTTTGGATGTGTACAATATTTGAATAGATTGTATTATTTTTCGTTGTTTCATGATGTCATGCACCAACAATATGAAGAATAAACTTGCAATTTTAAAAAAAAGTAAGGTACGAGGTATAATTATTATATAGAAAAGTAGATAAAGATAACTAGTGTTGTAAATAGAATTTTATTTATGGTGAATGTCTATATTTAGAGAGATTCTAGGGATTTTTACTTGGTGGCTAAGTCACTCTTTCCCTATAAATAGAGGATTCTATTCCATTGTAATTCATCCCAAATCAATAAGAATTCTCTCCCTCTACTTTTCTCTGCACTACTCTTCTTCTTCTTTTATTATTTTATAACAGTGACTTGATTAATGAAAAATGGAATTTCAAAATCTTAAAAAAATAATAACTGCCCAATTGAATATTCTCTTTTCACTCACTATAAAAACACCGTAAAATGGGTCTGCTAAACGGAGCGGGAAATTTGGATTCGAATTTGGATTTCTTCAGTGATGACCGACCGAACTTCCGAAGGAGGCAGTCGAAACAAGAGGCACTGCCTTACAGCTGGAAATTAAGGCAAAAAAATAGTATTTAATATCGGAAAATATACCAAAAATCGAGGCAAATATCTATAACTAGTGTTCGTCGGTTTTTTCCGACCGAAAGCCGTCGGAAAACTTATGTTATATAAGTTTATTTTGTGGACCATATCTCATTTCGTGACTTCTATTCCTCTTCACTCCAGCGGCGGCACCTCTTTTTAGGGTTTCTTCTCTCTTTGAGCTAAGGTTTGACGCTATGCTTAAAGCAAATTTTATTCTTTTAAATTTGTTGTGTATCCAAGTTTAACTGCTGCGCATGTTTGCTTATTTGTTTTCCCAATATGTGCAATTTGAATCACTGATTCCTGTATAAATATGGAGTGACTACTGTGGTTTACAGATAACTTGAATCCTAATGCTAACTTGAATTAATGTCGGAGTTAGGATTATCAACCATAGTGTTCATAAATTGCATAGATTGAACGCTTTTTATAATCTTGTGTAGCAAAAGTAGTACGTTTTTGCTAATTAATTTTGGGACTTCGTTAATTTTGTGTAGTAATATTTCGGGACCTTTGAATGTTAGGCAGAAGAGTGTAAATTAATTTGAATAAAATAAATTATTTTTAAGTATCTCAATTTCTATTTTTGCTCTTTGTATAGATGGAGCTTGAACATCGTAGATGGATGTATAATAGGTGTTATCGTGATCAGCGGGAGTTAAGAGAGGAATTTATAGAAGGGGTTGCAGGATTTATTGCTCGGGGGAAAACACTTTATGAATTCCTCACTGGAGGGATGATTAGGTGCCCTTGTGTGAAATGCAAATGTGAGAAGTTTTTGAAACCTAAGGACATTAAAGATCATCTTTATAAGAAGGGGTTTATGAAAAATTATTATGTGTGGATTTTTCATGGAGAAATTGATACCAATGCCCGTGTTTTCGATTTTCAAAAATTTTCTAGGGGTGAGAGTAGTCCACTGGTGGAGAAGAACTTTGAAAATTCTCGATTCAATAAAATGGTTAAGGATGCTTCTGGGATGTTCTCAGGTGTTCAATCCCAACCAAGTGTTCAGCATTCTCCCAATGATGAGGCTAAGCGCTTCTATGAACACTTAGAGGAAGCTAGTCATCCACTCTATGAAGGCTCAATGCATTCTAAGTTGTCTGTTGCACATGGATTACTTTTTATTAAATCGCATTGGAATGTTTCGGTAGCGGCCATGGACTATATCATTGGGCTTATGAATGAACTTGATCCGAATAAAATTGACTTACCCAATAATTACTATACGACAAAGAAATTGGTTCCCAAACGTGGAGAGGTTGGAGCATTGGATGGTCTTCAGAGGTTGATTATCGCTCCCGATGGGACTAATGGGTGAGCAATCTTTTTGTTAGTTTTTAATTATTGAACATATTTTTTACATGTGTTAAATTTAATGCAGGTTTTTTCCCAACACGCTATCTACGAGGGCGGTTATGGATTGTTTTATAGCATTTTATCGTCACGCTTGGGAAACCTGGAGAGAAATACCTTACATTGTCAGAGACCATATGTGGAATTACTTTAAGGTATAAATAAATTCATTTTTATATTATTTATAAAATTATTATGTTTTCATCTAATGTTATTAATTATTTGCAGGTGAAGTGTTCATGGTATGCCCAACATGATCATCAAATAAGTTGTAATTTCGAGAAGAAAGTTGCTGATATGCTTAAAGATACCTTGAGGACTGCTCAGAGAAAGCGTCAGAAGCCCACCTGGATGTTAGAAGATATATGGACTAGACTCAATGAGAAGCGGGACATTGCAGAATTTCAGAAGAAGAGCACCAAAGGAAAGGCCGCCCGTGCCTCCAAGAAGGGCTCGTTGCACAACGGCGGTTCAGTTAGTATAGGGACCCATCGAAGGAGATTGATAACTTGTTTATTAAATTTTTTTTTGGTTTTAACTACACACAATCGAACTTTTATCCAACTCATATTTTTTCTTTTTGCAGGAAAAGTTAAAAGGGAGAACTATGAATGATGAGGTCTTTGAGGAGACACATGTGAAAAAGAAAAAAGATGGTACAAGAAGTTTGGTCAAGCCACATGCTGAGGGGACATATGTAAGATCCTAATTTTAGAACTATTTTATTCTTTAACATGAGTTTGTTATATAATGCTTATCATTTAAATTTCAGGATGGACATACAAAAGGTTTGGATGAATGGCGTCAAAGCCAGCCCGTTGGAGGTAGCTCAACCCAGCCATCATCCGATGATGTTGCTTCAAGATTGTCTGGTGCTTCTTCTAGTTCTTCGCAGAATGAGGAAGAGATAGATTCATTGCGGAGACAAATACAAGAGACGTCGGAAAAGCACGAAGCAAATAGTTTAAAACTTGATAGACTGGAGGATTTAATGCATAAACTCATGGATAGTCGTCGATCTGATCCACAGTCTGACTCTGATAACGAGAATTAGTTTGTTCCAGTTGTGATGTTTGAAGCATTTACTTGTTTGATTTTGTTGTGATGTTACTTGAATGGTGTTTGAATGTTTAGGCTTGTATTTTGGATGTTTTAATTACAACGTTTATGTTGAATACTTTAGTTGTTGGAATTTTAAGGGTTTGATTGGTTGGAATTGGTGGATTGACGGCTTGGAATTGGTGGATTGATTGTTTGGTTGAATTCCTGTTGTTTGGTTGTTGTTTTCTTATTTGGCAGGTGGTTTCACTTATAAAACAGATGTTCCTGGTTCATAACTTTCCATTTTTCCGACGGATTTCTAACAGAAGTCGTTGGATAATTATAAATAAAATTTCCAGATTTAACAATATGTTTGATGGATCTCAGTCGTTATTCAACTTCCGCGTTTCATGGTGGCGATCTGAAGTTACCCATGGCTTCCGTTGAAAGCCTTCTCCGGCAAGTTGTATTCCGTCGGATAAATCTAAACGGTGTTGCAAACCATCAAAATGATGATTTTCCAACTGGATGAGCCATTGGAAATGTTAAGATTTCTAGTAGTTGGAAAGAAAGAAAGAAAGGCTTTGAAACTTGTGGTCTAAAACTAGTTCACAAGTGTTAGACATTTGTGTGGCTAGATTTGTAAACAGTGGAGGATGCATGTCCTAAGGCTTTCTGCTTGCTGTTCTTGAAGGTTTGACCGAGATCGGAAAAAGATTGAAGCATTTGGCTGATCAAAGACTGTTATCCAGGTAATTTTCATAACAAAGATGGTGTCATTTAGTTTGAAGAGACCATCTGACATTAGAATTTTCTTTAGGCAAGAAAAACACCTTTTTGGTCTTTTCTTGTAGTTGGTGCAGTCATAAGTTTTTGCCGATCCTTTTATAATAATTTGCAAGTTGTGTAATATTGACGGAAGTTTACATCCTAGTGTTCTTTGGCTTTTCTATAATTTTGGACCTTTTGATTATACCGAGTGATTTATTCTTTTCTTCCTTTTCTCCTATTCATGCTTTGTATATAAATAAATCATGTTGATTCATGGCAGGATTTGTTGATTGTAAAAGAGATCTGGAAGGAGGGGGAGAGATTGTCAAACAGGTACTGGTAGGCTATTGACAAGTAGTTAGTAATTAATAAACTATCCTTCAATGCTAAACTAGGTGTGAATTTAACGTAAGGATATTGTCCTGGGATCTTTTCTTTTGTTGCACACCAACTGGGCTCAAGGGGTCTGATGTTGTCTCATTTTCAACAAAAAAATTCTTTGTTTTTCTCCTTAGAGTCGAACTCACTATCTCTATTGAGACATAAATGTCTCTTAACTGGGAACAGAGGATCATCTTTTGCTGATTTGCCACCTCATCTTATTAACTCTGTAGACGTGAGAATTGTATAACATCTCTCAAGTAAGCATGTAGGACATTGTATTCTCGAGTTCTTGGATTTTGTTTCGCCACACAAAATTCAAGGATCCAGAAGCCCAAGAAGTAAAATAAAGTGGATATATTGTTTGCGGTGTTGAAAATTTGTGTCCATTTGTGTTATGTTGCTTCAATGTACGCACTGCATGTTTTTTGCTTGTGTCAGTGTTCTCATGTGTGAATCCGTCACTTGGAATAATCCACTTGCTCTTGCCTGAGACGAGTTGCATAGAATTTAACTTAGTTGGGGCTTCGTGTCCAATGTTGGTAAATGTTGTAAGTTCTAAGTTGAGGGGAAAGATAATCCCACATGGTTTTCTTGATCAAGGCCTGCGCCCAGTGTTTGTCTTTTATAGCACCAATACACAAGAAACATCTGCCGTTGTTAAGAACAATGTATGCAATTTCACAGTTCTCTGTCCGATGCATTATATGATCTTTGTTCTTATAATTTTCCTCCATTGTTATACCTTTCTGCCTAGTTCTTACTTTGCTAGGGTGTAAGTAATAGAATTTGTCTGCCTCTTAGTTTTAGGCATGAGTTGTGCAGCAAGTCACAAGTCACACCTTTGTACATATGTTCTGTGATTTATATGCCTGGAGATGTTGAGTAACTTTTGCAGATATGTAGCCATGCACATAGCAATGGTATAACGTTTCTGTGCCCGGAAATTCAATAAACAATGCAAGCTTGATCTCTTTGGACATACAACAATGTGCCGGTTTTTAGCTTGTCACATATGTATAACATTGCTGATTTAGCAGATGAACTTAATCGAACAGGCTAGTCCTAGTTCATGGAAAGCTCTTAAGTTTGTTTTCTGTTTATTCACAGATGATCCAAGATTGTCAGCTGGAACAGTGAATTAAAATTTCAGTAGTAGTAACGAAAGCGTCCCTAGGACTTGTAGAGGTGAGTATTCTTTCTTGTAATGTGGTGTTATAAATTTCAAGGATTCCCTTTCTTACTTCCAAGAGTTGAGAACATCTTAATTTACTGAGTGTTGGTTTCTTGACAGTACACTAAAAGACTTGTGTGGTTTGAGTTACAAGAAAAAGAGAAGCAATCAATTCATTTGTGGACCTCAGCTTAATTTACTTGGTGATTTCTAGTAATGTCTTCTCCTTTCTGTTTTTGGAATATTCACTTTCCTTTAAGGGGTCGTTTGGTATGAGGTATAAGAAGGTATAAGGGTGGTATAAAAATTTAATACCACCTTAATACTCTGTTTGGTTAGCAAACCAGGTATAAGTTATCCCCGTGTTAATTTTAACACTGGGATAACTTATACCTTATAGAAGGTGGGGTAATTAGCACCGGTATAACTTATACCTTCTTCTTAGAAATTATGCAATTGTCATTCTTAATACAACATACCAAACAATGAATAAACAACAATCCCAGCATAACTAATCTCAGCATAACTTATCCCAATATAACTTTTACTGGCATAACTTATACCGATATAAATCATATTCTAACCAAACGACCCTTAAGGGTTTTTCTTTCTTTTCCCATAACTTTTTTTGTTCCTAGCTAAGACCAGTGAGCACCTGCACTTGAGTGTTAACGTGAGGCCTAAATTTTTTTAAAAGGTTATGATATATAGTTTATTTAAGGTCTATGTTTCTAGCTTTTGAGATGCAAATATTAATAATTTTTTAATAATCGATTTCTTCTACTAATAATTTCTTTTACTTGATGATATAATCAACATATTTTATTTTTCTTGAGACATTATTAATATTAGGTAAGATGTTATCAGTTATAATTTTGAAAAACTTCTTTTATTTAGGCAACTCTTGTAAAAAAAAAACTCTACTTTTGTGTTAAAATTATTAAATATTATTTTTAAAAATATCTATAAATCTATAATATTTAAAAAATGGGGTCCCACAAATTTGGGAGCCTAAGGCACAAGCCTTACTTGGGTAAGGTTAGAGCCGGCCTTGACACCCGATTGAGTTAAGTTAACCATAGAAGACAAACTAAAGTATCTTAGACGTATGGAAGTCTTACATATCTTTATTCGTCAAGATATAAAAGAAATACCGAGAGAAAATCAAATGAAATACATAAAAAAAAGGTGCCAGATTATTAAGAGATTTACTACTGTACTTCCTATGTTGCATATGATTCAACTGCTGCTACTGATTGATCAACCAATTAAATAATATATTAATCTACCTGAAGAGGTTATAACTCGAAGGTGACGATGAAATTAAATACTCAATGTTGATAATGTGCTATAAATAATAAGAAAAGAGAACAAGATATAGGGTGTGTTTGGCATGAAGTAAAATATTTTCCGAACAATATTTTCCAATTTTTCCATGTTTGGTTGGCTTAAATATTTTGGAAAAAGAAAATATTTTCCAATTTTTCCATGTTTGATTGGCTTAATTGTTTTGGAAAATATTTTTCTCATGAACTCATTTTCCTCCAATCGGAAGAAAATAATTTCCCTATCAAGAGAGAAGGAAAAACATTTTCCAAAACTCTTTTTTAACCTTCCCCGTCATATTCTTCATTCCCTCCAACCCACCAATGGCGGTTTAAGGGTAAAGCAACTCAAGCGAGTGCTTTAGGCCCCTTATATTTTGAGGCCCAATTTTCTAATAGGTTTAAAATTATATTATTGTACATGTTAGCTTCTTGACTTAGTTTTTCTTTAAAAATTACTTAGTAACTAAATGAGAAGTACAATTATGTGGGACTATTTAACATAACTTGGAAAAAGAATATTTCTTTTGCTAAATAAATCTTTATGGTAATCACTCTAATGGCAAATATTTTCTTGCCTTATTTACACTTTGACCACTTTTTTTTTCTTTTTTAAATTTTTTTGAGAAATACAATATGACCACTAACTTCATTAATGGACGCACTTTTTTAAAATCCTTTTTAGGTTTCTCTTCAAAGAATTGGTATTACATTTTCATATTCTCTTTATTAAGTATCCAAGTTTTGGGAGTATGATTCTTAAAAACCTAGAGTCAAAAATCGAAAATATCTTCTTATCAAGTCTCTACTTTGTTTTCCTCTACGTTTTAAGCATTGCTAGGGAGCGTCAAATCAATTATGACATCAAGATTAACTTCTTGAATCAAATTTTATTAGTTTTAATTTATATTATTTTTACAGCTAAAATAGAATAAAAGCTGAATATTTTTTTAAAACGTAATAGTCATACTAATATTGATAGTGTATATATACTTATTTCTCAACTTAAAATATATAGAAAATAGTACAAGTAAAAGATAATACTTTAAGATATATCCAACCAGATAAAAATTAATTATTTCCAAATGTCTATATTACTTATAGAATAATATTAACAACCTCTATAACAATCACCACAACTGACAAGAGTTTTTCAAAATTAAAATTAACAAAATCTTACTTAAGATTAATATTGTCTAAAAAAAAATTAAATAGATTAACTATATCATCAAATGAAATATAATTATTAGAAGAAATTGATTATAAAAATTAATTTTGCATTTAAAATTTTTAAGACAAATTTAAGGTCTTTTATTCAAGTTTGGCTTTAGGCTACCAACTTCATTGAGCCGGCCCTGCAACCCACCCCACCCCACCCCACCCCACCCTACTCCCACCCTAACCCCACCCCGCCCCCACCCCAACCCCAACCCCTACCCTTAATAAAAATTTTATTAATAATACTTTTTTTTGTTATGAAACAACAAAAGAAGAAGAAGAGTATTACAGAGAAAAGTAGAGGGAGAGAATTCTTATTGATTTGGGATGAATTACAATGGAATAGAAC